AATGTGCTAAATTAATTTCAATTTAGTAATGCTTCAAGATTGTTAAAAAAGAAAAAAACTCTAAAATAGAACTCTATCAACAAATATTGGACACAAGAAGTATATTAAAATAGATTTAAATTAAGGGTTAATATAGATTAGTTTTTAAATTAATCAAGTGTTACTCCAATAATTCTCCTAAAAGGAAACGGTTTTTTATAAAAATCTCTCTTAAACCTTGAAATATTGAAGTCTGGGTAAACCATAATATTAGATGTATCTAAATTTTAAATAATTTTCTTTTACTGCAAAGGGGTGTTAAAAAAAGGATATCTTGTATTTTTAACCTAAATTTCTAAAAATATATAATCTGAACAATACTTGTTTTGATTTCCCATAGACCGATAGAGTTATCATTACTACCAGAAGCTAACGTATTTCCATCAGGAAAGAAACAGACTGATATAATATTATCACTATGACCATCTAATTTGGCTTTTTATTATCCTGTTTTGACACTAAAAAATTTAAAGACGTAAAAAATGCTGGTCCTCTAGTTCACTTACTTTTTTTAAACTCTATTATATTATTATTTGATAAATGTCTGTTCTTAATTTTTTAATTCTTCTTATCACAAATTTCATCTCGTTTTTTTCTTTTTTTAGTCTTTTTTAATGCTCCAGATGATTAATAATTTGGAGCTACATCGGTTTTACCCCTCCCATTGTTCCTCTCAAATTGTTGAATAGTAATCAAAGAGCTAGAAAAACTGGTCTTTCGTAGGAGCTAATCCATTTATTGGATGCCCTTTAATCTTAACATTCATGATCGAACATTCTCTAAAAACAAACTATACCGTTTTTATCTTATTTATTATGCCTTTTCTATCCTTATCCATAAATAAAGCTTTTGTAAAGAAATAAAGACCCATTTTTAAATGGAATTTTGGATTAATGGCTTCTTTGTCAACCTCAGAGTATTAACTATTAAAAAAAAATGAGAAAAAGAAAAAATAATTGATATTGATTGATTTTTAATTTAGAGAAGAAGGGATGAAAATTAAACTCAAAAGAAGGCAAGCTGTAAATATTATTTAAAAGATGTTTAAAATATTAGAAAGGAACCAAATTTTTTCTCCTAATCTTTTCTCAAAGTTCATAACTGAATGGTATACTCCTGTTCCTTAAAAGTAGCAATAATTCTGATTTTTTTACAAGAAATTTTTAAAGAGAATCTAGAGGAACCAGGATAAGAGAAATTAAAAAAATTCAAACAGGCATTGAGCAAAACATATTCATGATATGTTACAACTTTTTAAGAAGAATTTGAATGAAATGTTTATCTATTACTTGGCCAACAATTAATACATAATATAAGTAGTTAAACTTCAGATAGATCTTTAGCTTTTCACTAATTACTTTTTTTGAGCCAACATTAGTAGCAATTTTGAATAATTATATAAATAAAATATATTATGGAGGTAATTTGATATTGCTTCTAATATTGGCTATATTTCTAAATCTTTCCTGCCAAATTTGATATCAGAAGTTAAGTAATGGAAATAATTAATCAGCAAAATTAAGATGGAAGAATATAATTTCAAGTTGACAAAAATTTATGACAAAATGAATGATAATAAAAAGAAGTGTAGTCTATATTATCATAAGTTTTTTGAGTGGTTATGTAAAATTATGATAATTAGTATTGCAAAAGACATATAAATTAATAAAATTAAAGCTTGATATTGAGCAATTTTTTATGAAGAATATGTAATTGCATTTATAGATAAATTCAATTAAATGCAATGAAAAGAGCTTCGTATGTCTATATATTTACAAGCAAATATGATAATAAAATAAAAATAATTAAGGATAATGCATATTTGACCATTTTATAGATTGTATTAAGGATATACTAACATAAATTAATTGTTATTTAAAAAACATGAGATTATGATTTTTTAATTCTCATCCTTATTTAAAGCATGTCCATCAATTTTGGCTTTATCTTTCTTTGCGCCAACTTTTATAATTGATAATTTACTTTCTTTTAATGTTAGAGAATTTCAGAAAATTTGAAAGTTTTGAGAAATCCAAAACTAGATTCTTCCTAAATCAGTTGTTGAAAAAAATGATTTGTAAAGATGGTTTAAATCTAGAAAAAATTAAATATAAAAATTGATAAACTTATTTTTGATGTTATCTTTTTATCTTAAAATTATCAAGTTATGAAAATTTTAGCTCTTTTCTTTAAAAAACTTCAGATAAATAAACTAATTTTTTAGCTAATTAGCTAACTCTAAAACTTTATAACTTATTTCTAAAAGATTTAGGATATCTTCTTCTTATATCTGTGATGAATTTTACAAATTCTTAGAATATTTTTAGTTATAAGGAAGCTGAAATAATCATCATTTGTAATTAATACTAAAATATTGGAGCATAAATTATTCTAAAAAATGAATCAATCAGAAATTAATTTATGTATACTTAATTTATATTTATAAAATTAAATTTTAATAGGCAAATGACACATTCAAAAAATTATCATATCATTTTCAGATATTGTATTGCACAATGTCATCATCTATTTACTCTGGTTTTGACAGAATATCTGGGCTACTTTATTAGTGAACTCTGGTTTTAAGTACATTCTATCTTCTGTTCCATAAAGCACCAGATATGATTAATGAAATCAAAACTACACCTCCCACTGCGCAAACAACTGAAATCAATAAAATATTATCGTTTGAATTGTCTTAAGGTTATTTGAGTCCTTTTTTAGTTTGGTTTTAGAAGACATTTTCTTCACTTGAATCATCATTAGAATTGCCAACATAATCATTTTGTTGAAGGAGATCATCATTGAGAGTCGGATCTACGTATTCTTCATCTCCTTAGTTCACTGGTTCATTTCCTTAATAAGGATCATTAGAACCAGAAGGTGAACCAGAGTTGTTGGCAGAAGGATCAGGTTGCTCAGTTGAAGTGAAATTCAAAGAGCTTATAGTTGATATTTCTGCAGTGTTGCTGATGACTGTTCCTAATTCAACAGGGTTAAACGATTGGAGATTAGCAGCAATTTATTCAAGATTTGATTGAGAACTTTGAGCTTCAACTGTGCCTAT